CAAACCCTCCGACAACAGCCAAAGTCCTGAACGCCATAAGGTTGCTAAAAGCCGGGAAAGCAGCAGGACCCCATGGAATTCCTCCAGAAGCACTGAAAACAGATGCAGAGACAACAGCGGACATGCTTTTATCACTATTGCAGAAGGTTTGAAAGGAAGGAGGAAAGGTAAGGTACCTAACGATTTGAAGAAGGGCTACGTTGTCGAACTCCCAAAGAAGGGAGACCTAAGTCTATGCAAGAACTGGCATGGAATCATGCCCCTGCCCCTATCCACCCCAAGCAAAATATCAAGATGCATCACCCTGGAGAGACTGAAAATGTTCTCCATTCAAAATTGCCACCTGAACAGGCTGGCTGGCTAGCTATCTGGCTTCAGGAAAAACAAATCATGTGAGGATCAAATTGCAACACTACCCTACGCATCATCATTGAACAGAGAGTAGAATGGCAGTCAACTCACTGCCTTGCCTAAACTTCATCGATCTTGAAAAGGCCTTCGACAGCGTCGACCGAAAAGTAATTCGGCAGGCAGCTGCATCAACACTACGGTTAAGTGCCACAGACCTTTATCAACCTCATTCAACACTAACTATATGCTATATGAGGATGCTATATGCCAAGTGTTTCACAATGGAAAGCTCAGTGATACCTTGAAGTGAAGACAGGAGTAAGACAAGGTTGCCGCCTACTATCACCTATCATCTTCTTGATTGTGGTGGACTGAACTGGAGTGGATCATGCAACAGACTAGTATGAGGAGCAAGAAGATGGGAATGCACTGTTTGACCGATGAAAACAGGAGAAGATTTGGATTTCGCCCATGATGATGATTTATATCTAATGTCGCACAAGCTCGAAGATCTACAGGCGAAAACCGATAAGTTGGAAGATGAGGCGGAGCAGCGAAGGAAGACCGGACTTCCTTTAGGTGAACACAGAGAAGACAGAGGTGATGAAGATACCCAACCAACAGCAGTGGCAGCAACAAAAACAAGTACCAATCACCATCGACTGGAGAAACCTAAACGAAGTTGTCTCTTTCATCTAACTACCTGCCTACTTAGGCAGCATCGTCTCAACTACAGGCGGCGGCAGCGGCAGCGGCACAGATGAAGAGTCAATGCCGGGATCGGTAAGACAGCAAGACAAGACTTCATTAACTTGAAATCAGTGAGGAGATCTACTGCACTGCACTCAGCATGAACAAGATACCGACTTTCAACACTAATTCAGTTAAGTCAGTGCGTCTATATGGTTCAGAGACTTGCCATTTCACGAGAAGCATTTCCAACAAACTACAGACACTCATCAACGACTGCCGTCTACGATCACTCGATACTGAAGGTCAGATGGCCAGAATAATAAGAATAAGCAACAGGGAATTCTGGTCTGGCAACGAACCAACGAAGCAAGAACCCATAGACCAACAAATATACAGAAAGTGGAGATGGATTAGACTAGGCATACACTGAGAAGACCATTCGGGGACATCGCGCGACAGGCCAGTCCATGACGTCGAGTGGAACCGAAAAGGGAAACGACGAGTTGGGCGTCCGAGGCGAGGGTGACATGGAGGAGTTCGTGTGAGGAGGAAATGAAAGCTTGTAGGCAGTCGTGGAGCCAGGTTGAAAAGACTGCACAGAACAGAGTGCAATGGCGACGTGCTACTGAAGCCCTATGTTTCATTAGGAACCTAATGGGCAAATAATAAATATGCTACAAACAGTTATCTGATCTGATCGATAGTTTTGGTGAGATGAAAACCAACTGAAGTAGAAAGAATAATATTGGAATTGAGAAAAAGAATACTATGTAGGCTGGTGACAAGATAAGTAGGCAATGTTTCTGAAGAAAAATGTTTGAAGTACTGTTAGTTGAAATTGGTGTAACGAATCAAATTACGAAACATGATAAAATAGAGTAAGGAGAGAGTTAAGTATGTAGTTTACTAGGGCTAAGGACTAATAACGCGCTTTTTAAACACCAATCCAGTTTTAGCTATCTGCTTTCTATGACTTAACTATACTTAAAAGCAAACTTCATGAACTTTCTACTGAATAGTTTGAATGATATCAAAGCGGTTATTTGGTGTTGCGTCTGTCAAGCAGCTAGTAACAGTACGATTAAAAGTGTGAAATTGATTGATTCTTCTTCTTTAGGCTGGAAAAAGTCGTTTTTGAAATTTATCTATGATATTATCTTCTCTAATCAAAATAAGCACATTTCAGTAAAAGTGAATGTATTCCATGGATAATGACTTTGATTGGAATGAAACTTCATATAAAGTCAAGGGGGCTTCGTTGTCAGTAAATCCCAAAAGCTAGGAGGAAACAGTTATCCAAGTTTCCCACGTGATATCAATTCTTGATAGAGACTCTCTAAAACTACGATAACTAGTACTAACATTGCCTGAATCCCGACCATGGAAAATACAGAGACTAATTAACACATCAATACACAACTTATTCATAAGTCCATTCGTTCCAAGGTGGGATTATGGTTCAAAGGCATAAGTATTCAACTCTTAAGTAATGAATCCTAGATTCCAATCTAGTTCCACCTACTTAGTGCTGGAAAAATGGGTAGTATTATGAGCTGTCACATAATGAGTGTGTCTTTTTGCTTAGTACATAAGCATCCAAACAATGCTGAGTTGCATTATTATCGGTTTCATGTTTATTCTTGTTAAAACCGTTATATTCAATTCTGGCGATGACGATGATAAATGATCGATTTCCTGTCTTTTCGACATCTGAGTTTCAAATTTTCAAAAAGGTTGGATCTCAATATCAGGTTTTCATTTCATGGTCTTCATTTAGTATCAAATTTAAAAGCATCTCGAAAACTAATTCGAGATAAAAGAATACGATTCGAATAATCTTGAAAAGAAGACTAATTAATTAAGTAAACTCCTTAAGATAGTATTTGCTAGTGGATAGCAATTTCAATACACGATCTGAAAATTAAAGTTGGAGGGAAATCCGAATATTGGTAAGAGGTTTGGGCAGCCACATGGTATCACTAGTCTTCACACGATTGGTATGTCTTACTGCCTAATGCGGTTGCTGAGTGTGTTTCGATTTCATTTGCCGACCAACAGCACTTGAAATTATAAAACTGACTTACAATTTATCATTCATGTAAATTAGCTCACCGAGCTCCATCGGGAGTCGAATAAGAAAACCTGTATGGGCAACTAGCGTGATTAATTACAAATAGTTACATTACAATTTTATAGAACACCTGACATTTACGTAACAAAACAAAGCTGATTAACAAGTGTGGTTTGGAGTGTATTCGTTAGAGAGGCTGCTTAATAATCTAAAGGGAGCTGGTTCAACTTTCTTCACTATTCTTGATCCTTTTGAACCTCACTTGTCGTCAATCAAGACAGGAAATATTATGCCACGGTACATTGCAGGTATGCTTAGATTTATATATTTTATGCGGTATATATATTAAATTCAAGTTAAGGGTTCGTGGCACAGTATGTGTGCGATTATTAATGATATGAAGTAGATACCTAGTGAGATCAAGCAGTTTTGTAGAATGTATCTACAATTATGCGCTTATATCTTGATCATTTCCCTCACCAACAAAGTAATCGTAAAACGTTTGAGATGTACACCAAACATGAGAAACCACTACAAAGAATTACGATATAAGTTGGCCTTCTAATCAAATACCTTCGACACGATACAGGCTATTTCCAGTTTGCTTCCATAATCTATTTTTAACCTGACGGAAAAAACACGGTCTAGGTGACTGTGGACCACACATTCATTATCTCGCCTTGCAGATCCTTGACACTGGATAGTTATCTTAGTTTTTATATTCAAAGTCAGACAGACAAAATCAACCTCTTGTTTAGGAGGATCAGTTCAAGTTGCCACCTTCAGAGTTGCATCAAGGGAACTTATATGTCGAAGTTGACAAAGATGTATAGAAGAGGGATTTGAAAATGAAGGTTAGTGAAAACATTCAAGCTCTAAAATACATCTGAGTGAATACAAGTGCGCCACTATGACCGATTTTCAGCCACTTCAACTTCATGGTGGCAACCACACCACTACCACTCACTGGGGTGCAGGTACATTCAGCTAGCGACTCGCAAATAGGTAGGAAAGTGCGTACTGGATTCCACTGCCGGTTACTAAGATGAACAAATCATTCGATTCTTTGAGGTGAACTGCAAATGACAAGGTGAGTACAAAGCGAACATGAAACTGAGGGACAACCTTGACTTTATCCGACAAAACTTTCAATAATACTCTGATTTGTCTGGACGAGTGAGATGGTGTCCCTCTCTCCACCAAGATTCCGCACAGACACTTTCATCAACAAACAACTGTAGAAAATGACAAAACAGAAACGAGAGAAAGAATGGTTATTATTGACATCTTGTACAATAGTTATCAAATATTGTACACCTTCCACCAAGACAGTCATTTGCACAATGTGCTTCCTTTCCTCATCTGTTTCGATCTTGATTTGCTCTTAATACGCTCACACTGTCTTTTGCATTTCTCTGGCAGAATCTTTACTCATTGCTACTAATCGCCTATGATTTCTGTCGCCGTCTCAACACGCACTACTTATACTCATTCTGAATAGCAACGCCCACTACACAACTACTGCTTATGCTAATGGCCTTCGAAGATTTTACTGAAAGAAAGCTTATTACAACAAGAACACCAAAAATGAACCATGACGATAAATGACACTCCACCAAATGAAGTTGAGAAATATAAACCACTAGGATCTAAATAAGTGGTCAGATGGTAACATGCTCGTCACAAGATTGACCATAACGTAACTGATTGACTGAAAAAAGATATGAACAAGTGGTTGATTGCTTTAATTTTTCCCAAAATCTACGATTACCTCACATTTCTAGCGAGTTGCAATGTACACCATTGTTTGTTCCTGGAAATTGGTGGTAGAGTGATTTGGAATAAGGTTAAAGTCAAACATGACTGCTAACTAGAACTCAGATTTGACGTAGAAATATTCTGGATTATTAAGAATAAATATACAAAGAAAGGCAACAGTAAACAACGTTAGTCAATCAACTGGAGCAATAAATGGAACTTGGAAATTAGACCATTCGTGACACTTATACGGAAACACAATGATCGTTCAAATAGTTGCTTGTCACGAAACGTCAGGATGCAATATTATTTCTGGTATCATATATATATATAACCATGTAAAACATTACTATAGAGCTAGTTAAAGTAAGCACCGGAAAGAGGTCGATACCGATAGCAACCCGAAAACATTCTAAAGTTATACTCTATAGTCAACTCTCGAACAGAAAGAAGTTTTTGAACTATAAAGTTGGATTTAGAACACCCTACGGTTATGTACAACTGAAGTAACCGAATATTAAAAAACTCCCATCAACAAATTATTAGTTTTGGTTAGTTAAATACACACTTAACAAAGTAGCAACATTCACTATACAACAATAACAACCGTTAAAACAAAATAGAACATTGTACAAGAGGATTATGTACATTTAATGATTATGATGATAATTATCTTCATCATAAAAACCCTAAAGATCGAGTTAAAAAGACTCATATCTCTTACACACAAAAGTAAAAATGGACTCGTGAAACTGGATACGAATTTGCTCGGAGGAAGTTCAAGAATATGTGGTTAGTAAACGATGGACAACCAAGGATAAATTTATAAGCTATCGTGTTCTTCACTCACGACTGGTTTCCAATGCTTATTATTTGTTTCGGTACCTGGGTTATCGCTATCCAAACACTCTATTCTGACTTCAGCTTTTTCCGGAATCGCACTAACTTCAGATCGACCAGAAGGTACATTCGATGAGATAGTTGATAATGAATGAATCCGCTTACATTTGCGTTTCTCACCATTTTTATGAACATATCTATAGGATCCATGAAGTCCACGCTTCCGCATCCACACTGGAGTAAAAGATTTAAGAGTTTTATCATGAAAGTGAGTATATGAATTCGTTCCCAGTGTACTAGACTGTTCATTTGATTCGTCCTTTAATGGCTTAGGTTTTGATGTAATTCTGTTCGGTAAAATTTGACCAGACTTTGGATCAGATCTGCGAGTCCAAGGCAGAAATCTTGATAACCGATAAATAGACCTTATATTCTGATTAGCTGGATTCGATTCGCGTGCAAGGTGTAACAAATTAGAACTTTCTACTTCAATATGAACTAGGTACTCTAAACGAATAAGATATTCTTCATACAATTCACAATCATTATGACCGGCTCCACGAATAAACAATGGTTCCAGAGTATTAGGGATGCGTTCATACAGTCGTTGAGCATGCATTCGATCGATTATGTCATCTTCAGTACCATGAATGATCAGTGTAGGGGAAATCACATGGGGAGCACGCACATAGCTAATCACCAAATAAATTTAAGGACAATCATTATTTAATTGCATTCGTAACATATAACGTAAGAAATAAGTTAACTAAAGAAAAATACAAGGATTCCTTAGCACATTGTAATGCACTGATGTATAAATAGCTGTAAACGTTTTGCTATACTGTTGAAAGCTCTCAAACTCTTTGCAGAAAATCAGATAGCCAATATGATAGTTATTACTTTCCACAGAGATGTGAATACGCATACAATATTCAGTAAACATCTTTCTATTCGTACTAACACCACAAGTGTCCATAACCACATCCCGCAGATGGTAACTATGAAAATGAATGCCTGAGCGCTGATGCCAGTTATAGGTTAATTACAGGTGTTTCCAGAGTGACTTTCCAAACTCACGAATTTTATTGTGCTACTTTTCCGGACTAGACCTTCCTAGCAAGTTCCAGTTTCATGTTTTTAGACAAAGTGTATGTCAAAAAACTAAACTCTCTCAGCAACTATATGTGTTTCCATGCGAAAGACGATGAGCCACACTTATTGCATTGGGACTACTGATATTATCTGGCTTCGCAAACTTCTGTAGGTGGAGTGGAGCACAATATTATGGCTCAATGGTTGAAAGTCAACTTCTGAAACCAATGAACCGTAGCTTTACACTAAAGGACATCCATATGATTTTATAGTTAAACATTGTAACCCCATGTTAATGAATAAAAAAGGGAGTTCAGAAAGGAAACAATCGCGTGAGTTAGACTGCAAGCCATGTTAAATATCATCAGTGCAGAAATAGCATTACTTTCCATAAGAATACTAGGAATTTACTTTTACAACTGCAGCAATGCGAAGTTTGCAACAAAACATAAAACACAAGAATCTCTCAGGCAGGATTCGGTGCAACTCAGTTACCCGCTACAGCCTTTTTGCAAAAGGCAATAAGTTACATTCATTATCTGACCCCAGTGCAAAATTTATCAAGGATTAAAAGAACCAAAGAACTACTGATTTCATCCAAACAAATGAACCTAGAGGGCAACCGAAATTCAAATAACGAATGGTCGCTTGACAGTCAAATAATCAAATACTTTACACACCATCTAGTCGCTGTTTTATCATAATTTAATACTAACGAACATTAGTAGATGTGGGATGCTGAGCTAATTCGACCTAAAACACGTTATTCTGCTTTACTTTAATTGCATATAAACACCAATAAACATATCTGAAAATGCCGTATTATTTTTTAAAATGTAAAGGTTCAAATAAAAATATATATAACTAGATCACATCTTAGTTGTAAAAAGCTTATCCAATACTCTGACCACAATGCTCTTAATTTGTTTCACGAGAAATGGACTGCTCTGTAACTCTCCAGTTAGAGATACTACGTATCAAAATACACTAAGCTTTACTTAGCCTGATTTCCTGAAGATAGGAGTATACAAGCACAGTGGTTATTTGGAAGAACTCTCAAGATCTGTCATGAAATGATATAGTACAATCTCTATCCCAGGACAACCAACAAAATAATCCTACATAGGGTGACAGTTGCATTTATAATGAGAGTAATAATCACATTATGACTGTAATGAAATGCTTTAGCTAATTACGTCATAGGAGCATTGATTCATTTACGTTTGCACAAACAACAGGTTATAATCAAATAATCCCCAAAAAACTTGATAGTAAAATAAGTACTCCCATACTTTTGAAGCTCCATAACTTCCAGCTGAGAGATTCAGAAACACATTATTTGCTCGGACCTAATTTTCTTAGTTTTGAAAAGACTAGTTATCCCATCAACCAGCTAATGATAAATAACACTCACATGACTAATCGTCAGCTGCTTCATTTGTTAAACGAATAAGAAATTAGTAAACTTCATGATAATTTAAAATTCACAAGTTATAATTTAGGCAACGGTCAGAATCACATAATACACATTTGATACGTTTAATTTTTTTACAACGAACGATAAAATTAACCTATAAATGGTGGTTTTTGGGCGGAAATTAAACAATACAAATAAATGGACATGTGATAACTAAAAAATCAAAAATATCAATACAATATACTTGAAATACAGGGAAATGTAAGAACTTTTGTTACAAAGTACCGGTATCAAGTGTTCAGATAAAGAAACAGGCGCAATACGATTTAAGAAGCAATGGGAGGTTGAATATACTGTAGCATACTGGTGTCATGTATGTGCTGTAGATTTATTAAAACCTGAAATTAATGGAAGTGCATTTTCAGGTAGACTTCTTGAAGATTGTTCTGCTAATACTGGATCTGAATAGTCATATGTTAACACAGGTTTAAAATTATCCCTTGGCATTGTATCTGGAAGTCTGCGACTGCAAAGCTGCGCAATTTTTTCAGAAGGAAATTCACGCGGTAATGTCCATACCTTTGCTGATATTTGTAAGTAATTTTGGTCGATTTCAGTTTCCAAAAGCTTAGACGTCAATTTTCGGGGGAAAGTATTCATCTTTCCATTTTTCTGACTGTGCAGCGACCATAGCACTTCAGATGATCGGAAAAAATCTAGGTCACTGCCTTTAGGCGGTGGGGGAGGTGGAGGGAGAGTAAGATCACAGATATTAGGTTGGACTGAAAATAAATCATTGACTAAATTGTCAGAACAGTTTGTCGCAATTTCTGAACATTTAGAAATACTAGTTTTTTCTCCAAATACTAATTTTCCGTCATTCTTGCCTTTTGACTGACAGTGATCAGAGTCGTTATTATTAACAGCAAGAAGTGAAGCACCAGTTTTATCAGACTCAGAACACTCGCGTGATGATAAAATAGCTGGGCTATTCCGTTCATTTAATTGGCCATTTTTATCAGCAGACACCTCATAAACTTCATTCACATTGAGTCTGCTAGGCTTTGAGCTTGAAAGAATATCCCAAGAAGGTTTTAAAAGTGACTCTGGTAGCTTTTCATCTGCATTAACCATGTTACCATTTGCGCTTAAACATTCATAAGAATTCACAGGAGCTGGTATAGAATCGGAGTTCGATAGATCCGTCTCACTATCCTCTTTAACTGTTGTTTTCGCCAGAAGCTTGGATGGTTCGATACTCGTATCTTTCCCATCGGAAACACATGAACATTTGGAATTTAGAAGTAACTGGGGTAGTTCCACGGTAACCAACTTAGTTAGGCGCAAAAGATATTGAGGAAACAGTTCACAATCATTATGCCCAGCTCCATCAATGAAAAGAGGATCCAATAATAGGTGGCCTGCCAGAGCAGAGCATATACGGTAACCATGATTAACATTCACTACTTCATCACGTGTCCCATGAATTACTAAAGTAGGTGAGATAATTTTCGGCGTGCGTGCAAGACTGTGTCCAGACACGGGTGACAATTGTATTCAACCAAAGTAGACATCAGGATGGAAAAAAATGAACTTTAGTAAGTGAACTGATGACAAACAATGAAATGTCATAAACTTTAGTTATAGTTTACTGACTATCAGAAAAGTAGAATAAAGTATCTTAAGACTTTATGAACTAACATCAGCGTTCATTTTTCTTTGTACGTATGTTATGAGTATCACCGCATTATTTTTGTCACAGTATATTTTACCGACTTCTTTTGGACAAGTAATTCAGATTTTTTATTGCTCTACAATACGTAACCACTGTTAATTCTAAGCTAAAATAACGTGCCAAGACTTTAAAGAAATTTTCGGGACTTAATAATGAAATAACTGAGAACAGCACGTCCAACAATAAAAATAAAACTGTTGATATTTCTATGATTGGAACGATTGCACAATATTGTAATCATGAGTAAGTCTATATAGACAGTTATGAAAACATCTCTTAAATACAGTCAAGAAAACAAGTGTAGAAAGCAAGACAACATTAGTGCGTGAATTTTTGTAAGTGGTAAACTCACTGATTTATTGACACAACTTATCAAAAAAATTGTCACAACTTTTGACAGCACATGAAGAGTGGGAATTATAAACAAGAAAATGGTAGCAGAATGTACGTACGCATAACGGTAACAGTTTAGCCCGTATTAAGAGATCAGGCTACCATCAAATATCCCTAGTCACGATTCTTCATCGTCTCTAAAACCAAGTGTCAAAAATACATTTCCACTTGTTTTAAAAAAAATACTTAACGACTGCCTCTTGATCCCATAATCCGATGAAAATACTTTTATCTTCGAAATAAGAACAGTTTTCAACTTTCTATCTATTAATTCATAACTTTTATTTCACGAGTCCCTACTGGATTCTTATCTTTGTTACCAACTACTAAAGTACCACTGGTGAATTCAACTGTGTGTAGTCATGACAATTAAATAGACGATCGGATAGTCAAGTTAGGTCATATACGACAAAATAATTGCCATTCTGTAGTGAAGAAAAATGGAGTTGCGGAATTTCGACAACTGGCTTGACCATATGACAGGATCCATCATTATAGTACTTATTTCACTATCTTAATTAGCACTGGAAGTTAAACAAGAAAAGTAACGAAGAATAGATAAGAAACTAGTTACTAGATTTGAACTACATCACTATGCTTTCAATTTTTTAGAGTAAGAAGTAGAGCGACTATCTGCATTGTCGCAGTTGATTCTAAAATACGTAATCCATCTTTATCCAAAAACTGGTAACATACTTAGACGCTATGAAACAAAAGTATACGCTTGTTCTACTGTCCAACCTAACAGTCAATTACTTCCAGGTTTAACTGGAGAGGTTAACACATCGAAGCTTTGGCTGCCAAGTATAATTAATCCGATGAGAAGTCAGAGGAACAGGACGGAATGTTAGGCAGATTTTCGCTAAGCATTAGAAAAAATAATCCATGGATGTCTATACTTAGTGAACTTCACAGTTTTGACCCAGTCAACATTTTCGTCCGTCAAATAGGACGTTGGGACACTCACTACAGAAAACGTCAGGCGCGGGGTTTTGGAACATTTTCCCAACATCTCGTTCAGTGCTTTTTAGCCCTTCGTCTGGCCCTGGTATTTTAAAAATGGCCCGAAATCTAGCCCCACGTTTGGCCCCATATGCACTACGTCTGGCCCTACATTATATACATAACCCGACGTTGCCCTATTTGGCCTGACGAAATTGTTGACTGGGTGACACAAAATCACTGGCATTGCCAAGATAAAAAGAATGCCAAAAACCAAACTATATCACTCACTTGGAGAAAACGTCACAACAGTAGTTTCGTTTTAATCTCGGAAACGCCACCCTTAATCCAGACATTAAGGGTGAGTGGAGCACAACTGCGGCAACTCGATGAAGCGTGGCTAAGTGAATTGTCGGAACAGTTCCAATGCTCTGGCCGTATAAAACAATTTGGTTCAGAGGCACGGAGTACTTTGTTCGCAAGACGTTAAATGCACACTCAGCATCTGCATATAGATTTTTTTCCAAAGGCTTTCCAGAAGACATACCATAACCGGAATAATCATAGCACATAATATTTACATTTAACTTGGTCCCCAACTCGTACATAAAGTGCAGCATCAACCCCAAGTCTACGGCGTTTCCATGACTCAACAGAAAAGTAAGTTTTGACGATGAATTAATGGGCATGTAAAGGATCGCAATTTGATTTCCTCTTCTTGTGGTGGCTTTCATGGACTCTATATTTTCTGGGACAAAATGTATGAACGAATCTTTCAAGTATGGCGCAAGAGCAAAGCTGTATGCGGTCTTTCCATCAGCTATTTGTTCTGAGAGTCTATAGCTAGGAGGTGGTGGCATGAAAGCCAACTTAGCTGCGATCTTCGACGGTAATGGAGGGCAACACAACAGTTGACAGATACTATTGCAGCTTAAATCGTTCATGGTTTTGTAGTACTATTGGAACTTTACTGAACGGTAGTGTAGAGAGACGAATTTTCACACACTTCCCACCTTTACGATATCACTGCACACATCCTGCAACTTTTTTCGAAAAGAACGACATTACGACAATGTACATACATGCCGCTTTAAGATTTCAGTTTTCACTAGTGCTAAAATAAAGTTATACATAAGCCATCTTTTGAGACTTATATAGGCATTTTTATATGTGATCAGAGTCAGTGATTAAAACCTTTGGAAATTCAACCTTTATTCAAACCCAATATCCAATACCTTTTTAAGAGCTAGCGATAACCAGTTGACTTTTTCGTGCTCCCTTCTAGGTCTAGTGGAACGGTTCCAAGTCGTCAGCAGATTCTGATACGATAGGTCCACCCACTCGCTATTTGCAGCTGTCGTTAAATCAGCTGTTGGTTGGATGTTCAATAACATCCAACATCATTAGTGAGAGAAGAGGAAGCTTGTGGATTTTGAGCTCTCGCTTCTAGGTCTTGAGACTCAGTTCCTTTTGTTTGGCTGTACTCCTTCGATGTTAACGGAAGTCTTTGCATTTCCCTGCTTATTTCTTCGAAGGTAGTGATTATCTATTTAAAGGTATTTCATTTGCAAAATAGAGCATGATTTTTTGAGGTGGGGTGGGGTGGCAACGGAGCTGCTGATAAGACCAATTAACCATTTGCAAGTTCTGCTTTTGTAAGCCCCTTCAAGTAAGTATCAGGCGTTACCTAAAAAGTGCTGGAAATAGGGTGTGGGGAATGAGAAAAAGAGTGTTACTGGCAATAATACGGAGAAGGAATGCGCCCTGTTGCAGATACTAGGATTGGGAAACACAGGGATGGAGGAGCATATCGTCAGCTGCTACTGACAAATGTTCGTGGTAAGGCATTTGTGCTCACGTACTTATCCAGTAGTCGTTTGAAGGAGTTGACTGATTTCGTCACTTCCTTTGCCTGAGCCTTCCATAAGACACAAAATCTGTGTGAGAAACTTGATATCACTCTCAACCTTGCCCTATGGTGGGGTGTGCTAGTAGGGTTCCCAAGGGACTGTCGATTTTGGGCCGATAACCATGATCTATTGGAATGGTCCACTTGTAGAATGGTTTTGTAGGCTGTTGTTAGGTTACCTCGTTTTCTTCGATAGCCTAATATTAGGAAGTTGAGTTGTCTGAGGAGTTGCGAATATGTTTCACCTGTTAATCCAACAACCGAACTCGTCACTCTTCTTCATACCTTCTTCAGAGCATTTGCGTCTCTCTTTGGTATTGAGGGGTGGACTGTCATGCTGAACACCTCTAAGTATGACCTAACATAGGTTTTAAATACCACAAGGAATAGTTCTGGGGTTAATGATCCAAGCTGCCTTCTTAGAAAGTACATAATGGCGTTTGCCTTTGCTGCCATTCCATTATAACTGTCGGTAGTATCCAGCGTGTCGAAAGTGTTCAGTCCTAGGTCCTTCTCTGTGAGTGCCTTGGTGATAGCGTGATGGTTCACAGCGTTGCTGATTTTCATCGCCTTTGGTGTGCGAAAATACATTAGCTTGTATTTCTCTGGGTTAAGGCTTCAACCGCTTGCGGCCGACCAGGACCTCGGCCAAAACAAATCGTTGTGGAGTGTCCTAGGATCCTCTTCGTCACCCATTGTCCTCCGTATTTTGATGTCGTCGACAAATGCGAGGATAGATGAGGGGATTTTAGTGGGAAGGTCGTTTATGACTGGCAAAGGTGGGAGTCCCCCAAGGATGGCTCCCTAAGAAACTCCTGTTCTCGCTTTCCCTCGAGCTGATAGAACTCTGTTTACTACAGCACAGGATTCTCTGTATTCTAGACATGCTGTAAACCATGCCATGAGTGGTTCAGTGATACCCACTTTTGCGAGTTCGGCGAGGACGGTGCAGTGTGGGACGCCATCAAAAGCTTTGGTCAAGTCCAAGGAGATAATGAGTACTGGTTACTTGTTGTCCCACCTAGTGGTCCAGTCATCCCAAGCAGTCGCCAAGTTTGTGACACATGACCACCCAGTTCTTGAGCCATGTTGGCTGGGGAGAACGATGTTGTTTCCGTCCAAGTACTCCAAACAACACCTACACCCAGGCTTTACAGTAACTTGAATAGTACGGGAAGTAATACAACTGGTCTTTAATTACACAGGTTTCTTCGGTCTCCTCCCCTGAGGGTTGGTGAAAAAATAGCGAGTGTTCGATTGTTTGGGGAGTTGACTTACTTCCAACGAGTGCGTGAGCAAGTTGCACATGGGCATGCTTAACACTTTGGAACAGTTGCGTAGGACCACCGGTTTGATGTCGTCACAGCCCGATGATTTCCCTATTCTCAGTGCCGAAAGACTCGCAAACACCTGGTTTGGCGAAATCTTTGCGCTCATCAGCTTCATATTTCAGTCCTGTGACTTCGTTACGCCCCTAGATGTTGATACCGGTTGCATTATTGGGTTGAGCTGCTTGTCAATTAGGTTGCTCAACAGTTCTGCCCTCACCGGTGTTCAAAGATTCTCCGATCGGTCCTGTGATCAGGCCTAAATCCTTGTTCCTTGGTGTTCGTTGTGACATAAACCGGCTTGAACGCTTCGGATTCAAACCTAACAATTGAGCCAGGTTGTTCTCGTATATGTACCTGTCATTATGAACTGTAATATCACACAAGTTCCATAACGCCTTGTAGCTAAGACAGTCTGTTCCTTCGTGTGATGTGCACCACTGATACCATATCCCCTTTTCCCTCCGCATTTGCCTATAGGCTGGGCGAGTTACACAGGATTGTTTTAGGGGTTGCCGTCTGGTTAATTCCGAAGCACTTGACAGAGCTCCAGATAATAACTTTAATATGTGTCCAATGTTCGTCTATCAATAGTGAGTGCCATCCTCATAACCGTGTCGCCTCCATGATTTCATTTTTCATGAGATAGTGATTTGCTTTTCGGTAACAGTGGAACAAGTCTGGCTCATGTATTAGTAGTTTCTCCTTGGTTATCAGAGAGAATCTCACCATGGCGTGGGCACTTTTACCTGGGTGGGTGGGCACGCATATCGTCCACCTAAAGATCATCGTCTGTTAGGTCGTAGACAAGTGGTGATCCTTTTATATCTGGTGTTTTCCTCAACCTTCTCTATCAATCCTGTTGCCATGATCATGTTTCGAAGACTTGTGTCCACATCTCACTCCCCATCCCGGGTTGAGTGCCAGCGTGTTAAAGTCTCCGGCGAGAGCCACATGGTCACAGGTTGCCGAGGTGGCTGTCGAAATGGTGCTGAACAATTGTACCCTATGCTGTGTCGCGCATAGAAAAGACCTATACACCTCTCCTAATTGGTACTTAGTTTGGTTTTCGAGGAAACAGCACCATAAGGAGTATAATAGTAAGCTGAACACACCATCAGTCACTTCCTTGACTTTTAGGTGAGTGCCAATGTGCATGGCAGCTCTTCCATCTTCTTTGAACTGACCATCCTCTCAGAACAATGCCATGTTGGGCAAGGATATTTCTTCATCCACAATGTCTGATGGCACCCATATCCACATTACGAGAATGACGTCTCCTTGGAGGTTATGGCACATTCTTCTTAGCTCCGGTGGTTCGCTTCCGCGACCTCCTACATCGCTGTAGAAGCATGTCAAGAGGATAAGTTCCGGGCTTGGCGCGACATGGGGACTTGTTTGTGGGCTGGTGTGCTGTTGCATCTGATTCTGGTTGTCAGTCCCTGCTGGACTGGCAGGCCTGCGTTGCTTGATCCCTCTTGACGTCCCGGTGACGGTGTGATGGTATTATCCACTCTTGCTTTTACTGGTATTTTCCTGAATAGCTCTTTTGTGGCCAGTGCTGTTCGTAGTACTCCTGGAAGTTGCCTCCGATCTTCCAATCCGGCAGACCAGCGTGTACTTTCGCAGCAACTCGTGGGAACTCCTACTTGATCTTCTACACAGTACCATGCTGTGAGAGCTTCTGGTAGTGATACTTTGCAGTCACAGTGTACATTTAGAAATCTTGGTGAGGAAGTGGTCTACGCGTGAGTAGGTCTTGGCAACCTACGTAGGCTTTCGACAGGCAATTTTTCAAGTCCTATTTTGCCGTTAGCCACCTCCACCGCTCGACATCATAGAGGAGATTACCACACTTTGTGGACCCATCCACTTGTCCGGGCATTTCACGTGCCTCCACGGTCGCAGCTTTGTGCAGATCGCTAGGTGAGGACTTTCTCTCTGCCTCTCTGGTGACCCAAGTTTCGTCTGGTTTCACCCTTATGTGGCAGGAGCCCGTGATTTCTGATTGGCAGGACAGCAGCAGTATGTTCTCCGACTGTTTCGCTGTCGTTGATGGTACACTGAGAGGTGACGGCGTGTCCAAGGTGCTGTACCTCCTCGGAAGAGACGGCTTAACTTGGGTGCGACGGTTTCGATTCCTAACTGCCTGTGGTAGTCGTCCCATTTCCCTTTGTCAGACTGCTATTTTTTTAATAGTGAGTCTGCTGGTTTGGGGACGTTGAGCAGAATGATGGAGTCCGTTCTGTTTTTTCGTGGCAGCAGGGTATTGGGGTTGGTAGCCAGTGCTTTTGAACTACCGTTTGCCCAATTCACTTCCATCTATGAGTTCTCAACTCAAACTATTTTTTAAGGCTGTTCAGTTCCGCTGGATCGTCTGGGCTACATCGATGTGAGTGAGGACTTTGTTGGTGCCTGGCTTGGGGTGGGAGACGGTCCTTCTTATCTCTAGGGGGCAATAAACTTGGAAGCTTGTGGAGCTTGCCCAGTTTCTAAGGGTGGGTCATGGGAGCCCGGGCATTGTAATATACCTGGCTGCATCAGGTTCCCCAGTTTGCCGGTGATGACGGCAGGTAATTTCAGATGCATATGCCACGTTCGCTTACATAGGTGCTCCCTCATTAGGCTGTAGTACGGACCCGACACACCATTATCACAGTTATACCGTACCCATTTTAGACATGTGTTAGATTCAAAGGGTTTTGAGCTTCTGACACCGATTCCTTGGAAGCACCGCAGCCGTCAGAGGTTTTCTGTTGTTGACGACTGAATAGTTTGCCTTCTGTGTGGTGTGGTAGAGCATAGCGTGTGTCATTAAATTTATTGGAAGAGGTGCGCGTTTCCCTTTGCTTTACTTTTTACCAATGGGATGTTTG